ATTTATGAAATTTAAAAAAAAAAACATTGGTAGAATTAAAAGTTTGCGTTGGTTCTTTTTGGTAGAAAGTCTTTAGAATTCAAAACGAAAGTCAGCCAACTGTCAATTCAAAAGTAGCTCGTTCATTACTTTTAAAAGTTGAAACTTTCCAAAACCTTCAAATCACGTTGTAGAACTGTCAATCTGAAAACCATTTTTTTTAAAAGACTCATGAAAGGTTTTAATTTGAAAGATGGGCATTTTTGTCACAATGATGTATGTTTTCATCGCAAATATGAATTCTTTTCAATTCAATTGCTGTATTCTTTAAAAGAGTAATCCAAAGAAATATTTAATTGAATTTATTTTAATTTATTTATATTTCCATAGGAAGCATTTTAAACAAGTGGTACAGTTGATATCGGAATAATTTACTCCAGACGAACTCGGTATGGACGTGCTTGAAGGAATGTTGCTTCTTGATGGTGATGATAAGAGCGGATGGGAATAGCCTTCCTTCCGGCAAGACTGACAAGGCTGCTGAAGATCATAGGACTTCAATTAATAAAATCGGAAGCAGATCGAAAGTATTTGAAAATGTCATCAACTTACCTCGAAAGCCCGCATAAGAAGTATCTTTCCAATCCTTCCACTTGTTAGCGTCGCCGCGAATTATTCGTATCGCGCAGAAGGGAAACTAGTGCACTGGCGGATGAAAAATCAGGTTAAGGGGAAAACACTGCCGCTGCTCCTGCTAGTTCTGATAGCTGCTTTCGTTTTGTTTTGTCTTTCGCATGCCAAATTTAGCGGGAAACAGAGGTCCAGTACTGTTAAAGACTTTGCAATGAAGAGGTTTTTTTTTGATAGTTTTACAACCCTTGTTCAAAAAAATTTACTTTTAAAATTACAAGTTGAAAGTGAAAGAAACACTACAATAAGTTTAATTTTGAAAATTTTCATAGTTGAAACTACGAAATTTGGGATACTTTTATTTTAATAATGCATTATTTTTATAGCAACAATTTTTATTCTTTGTGTGCAGGAATATTCCATAATCCCTCGAAATTTCTTAAAAGTTCTCGTAATTTTCCTTAAATTAGGGGCTGTTTTGGAGTTCTCTGGTCATCCTCGAAGCGCTCGGAACTTCCCCTGATTATAATAAGACTACCGGAATATCTATAATCATCTTTGAAGGTCTCTGGACTTTCTTGAAGATTACGAAATCTCTTAAGAGCTCTCACAATTTTCTTGATTTTATTGTAACATCCTAAATTTGCATGAGCCTCTCACCTGGAAGCTACTCATAACTTCAGCAATAACCAGTTTGATGTCCTGCTTTCCTCCTTCCTGGTATATTACTTGAGTCCGACGTTGGGATAAACCGAATACAACCATAGAGGTAACTCTAAGACCACTGGGTCCCGAAGAAAATCATTATTATTTTTGGCTCACTCAGTACCAGAACAACGGTCCCAAGCAGTCCCAAGCTATTTCACTCACCCCTGCATGTTCTGCATGAATCCACACACCCCTGATGTTATCTGTCAAACTTTCATAGCGAATCAAAACAAACATAGTGTAGTAATAGAATTTCAACTAGAATAGGGTACGTTAATCGTTTGCTTGGGACCAATAGGCTACTAAAGTGGTGAGCCAATTTAAAATCGTTAGTTTCGTATTGATTGTTGATACAACCTCGATCGGGTTGAAGAAAGGAAAATATGCTGGTAAGAACACTGGAATGATTCCAAGCGATCGTAAATATTCAGTTATTTAAGCACAGCAATGTATTTTCGCCCCATCTATAATCCAGATCGAATTATTTCTTGGATAGCGTTGTATATGGTCAGTTTCAAGAACCAAAGATCGATAATCTTAAAAAAAAATGAAGAACGTGCGAATGTTCCATCAGTGGAGTACCCAACTATCATTCCGTGTGGACCAATAAAGCACAAGATGGATACTCGCGCTTTTCTCACAAACTCTCCACGAAAAACTAGTCTTTTACCCCGAACACCGTTTCCCGTATCCCCGAGAACGCAACATAGATCTGTTATCGAAGCTTAGTGTATCTAGGAACACTACTGTGTTACCCTCGGTGTTACCTGACTTATAACGAACGTTGTATCCAGCTTTCCATGCTCGGTAATGGCGGTCTGTTTGTATGAATAAATGTATCCTTCACTGTGCATTTTGACACTAACTGGAGGGCGTATGTTGTTCCATTTTCTTCTGTTCCTGGGAGAGGGAAAGGGATGGGTTCAAATTCCGAACCTCTAGATAGTGTCAAAAAGCACAGTGAAGGATACATTTATTCTTACAAACAGGCCACCATTACCGAGCATGGAAAGCTGGATACGAGTACCCCGGATACTACGTATGTGTCGTCTAATTTTGCATAACATTTGCAATGTAAAATCAGACGAACATTTTCAGCTTCATAAGCAAACTTTTCCAGCATTGTGCTTTAAAGTATTGAGGGTGACGCATTGAAAAATCAATGGTTTCGCAGTATTGAAGACGCCATCATGCGATTTAATGGTCCAAATTTTGTATAGCTTATAGTATGCCATAGCAAATAAATTTCGATTTCTGAGTAAGTTATCGTGGATCGCATGCTTTTCGAGGAAAGGGCATAAGGCCCAAGCGCAATGACAGTGGAAGCGGAACGGCAGTGGCAGCGGAAAAGCCCGATCTGAGTAAGCCTACTTGTCGGATTGAAAACTAGTTAGAACCAAATCGACTTCGGTTAAGCATCTTGATGTCTTTTGTGACAACTGTCAAACTTTTCGTTTCCGTTCCGTTTCCGTCCATATTGCGTTTGGGCATATAGAGATTAGTGACGTTTAACGCCCACAGACTAGAGGGAGAAACGCCATGTAAAGTTGTTTATTATTTTCCTCTGGCTAACCTAAAAAATGTATGAAAGTAGTTCTGCCAAAATGAGTTTGACATCGATCTGTTATGTATTTTCCTCGGATATTCATTAACACCATAGAGGTAACTCTAAGACTAGTAGCATACACAGCAAAAAAAAATGTAATATCGATCAACGTAATTCAAGCTGATGTATGAAATAATGATGTAATAGCAAAAAGCAGATACAATATTACATCAATGGATGTAATTTTGTTCGCAAAATCGATGTACATCGTACAATGTGATATTACACAACCGATGGATTGACCTGGTTGCATCAGTTTCGATGTAATATTCAACAACTTTTTTTGCTGTGTAGAGGTAACTCTAAGACTAGAAGGTCCCGAAGAAACGTGCTCAACTTTTTGGCTCAGCTCTGGTACTATCTTCGGTCCCAAGCTAATCGATTCACCCCTCGAAATATTGGAAAATCCACTAACCCCTCATTTTATCTGTCAAACTTTCATAGCGAATCAAAACAAACATAGTGTAGTACTAGAATTCCGACAAGAATGGGATACGTTAATCGTTTGCTTGGGACCAATAGGCTAGTCAAGTAGTGAGCCAATTTCAAATCCATAGTTTCGTATTGATTGTTGCTAACACTCTCTCACATATCGCACCAATACATCCGGACGTGAAAATCTCTATAGAGCTTTTTGACGTTTAATCGGCGCACACTACTGCACCATTTAAATCAAACGAGTGTGAGCAAGAGGGAAACAGATTAGTGGGAAAACAAACCGTGCATTCATCCATGGGTGCTAGATAGAGAAAGACGATTAAACGTCAAAAAGGTCTACACGGTAAGAAAAAATACTGAAAATTAAGTTAAAAAAGACTCAACGTTGGGTTCTATCATTTGAGGTCCGCCGTTGAGTGAATCAGAAAAGCGGCGTTGGTTAAAATTTACTCAACTATTGAGTAATAATAAATGAACTCAAATATAAGTTTATTTTCATTGAGGTTGCTCTTATGCGCCTTTAACAATTCTAAATTCATAAGCTTTGATAGACGAGTGGTCAACACACGGGCCCCGTAGTCGCAACGTCCATGGTTCGGTTCCAGTCTGTTCCGTTTTATCATTTTTTGTCAACTTGGTCAACGTGGATTCATGATCAGGAGTACTCAAAATTGAGTTTTCTTCTTTAACTTAATTTTACCTAACCCCACGGAAGCCACGTGATGAGTGAAAGGAACTCAATTTTGGGTACTTTTTTCTTACCGTGTATACAAAGTTTTGTTGACAAAAGCTGATTAACCCTTTTTCAATTGTTGGTCTTGAAATGTCCACACTTTCATCGAAATCGGGGCCCCCCGACTTCGTTCGGTCGTCCTAATCGACAAAGCATTTTCATCCAAGTCGACCCAACTCGTCCGAAGCCTCTCTCGCGACTCGAGTCAGCTTCTCTCTCTCTCACCTAGCTTGATGCTTTTTCCCTTGCTGGAGATTTTCCTGCATCGACCTCACATCGGCCATCTTGGAGCAAGATATCCCCACATGTTTAAAGGTCTCCTACGATTCTACGCACACTATCGTGAAATCGTGACGTCACAGTGTGCCAGTTCAAGGGAAACGTGGAAAATCGTGACGCACGTGAACTCAACACTAGAGAAGGGTGTTCAATTTCGATCACCTTCGGTACGCTGTTGACGGTTGACCTATTCGTTGCGGGATTTCGCCATCAAAAAATAATACACACCGTCGGGACGGTGAGCGAGTCGACCATCGGATTGGAGAAGAAAGAAATTCGACGTCGTAGGAGCAGCAGGTACACGAGCGACGACGACGAAGAAGAAGAGAGCTGCTCTGGTTGGTTAGTGGCACTCGTCAAGGAGGAAAAAGTAGCAGCGAGCGAGTGTACAGAAAGGAAAAAACGAGCGAGCTGAGGAGCAGAGTGTGTGGTGCGTGTGTGCTTCTTTTTTGCCCAATCTTTCACGCAAAAATTCGAGTGTCCGAGGCCCTCGATTTTGTGCAAAAAGTGCGAAAAAACGGTCCCCGCGGTTCGGAATATTACGGTGGCCGCCACGTCTCGAGGCCGGAATTCAGGGCGACGGTCGAAAATCGGGTTCCTATTTTTTTTTTCTGTGCTGCTAAGTAGTAGTGCTGCGTTCCGTTTTCCCCTCGTCCTCTCTTCTGCTGGTGCGCTGTTTCTCGGTCCCGTTCCGTTTCCATCCGTCCGTCCGACCGACGACCAGTCAGCCAGCCAGCCATCATTATCCATCTTTCGTTCGATTTCGATCGTCGACGGACGGGGACGGTCGAAGGAGTTTTGCTGCGTGCGAAACGGTGCGTGCGTTCGTTGGGTTGTGTGTGTGCCTCGTGTATGTGTGTCTGATTTATTGCAACACCTTCAGTAGCCGCAGCAGCAAGTGTGTTTTGTGTGCCCGATTGAGCACCAGGAAGACGAAGAAGAAAGAGTAGGCGAGGAGAAGAGCGCAGCGGATTGTGCTGAAGGTTTTTTTTTTTTTTTCATTTTCAGTTTTTCTTCCTCTTGTTGAGATTTTCTCTCCCCCGTCCTCGATTATTGCGCTGAAGAAGAGTGGTGCAGGAAGAATAAGAAAAAGTGCTCGATCGAGCTGATTGTTTGTGAAAAGAAGACGAAGAATCAACAAAAGGAATAGTGAAGGAGGAGGAGGAGGAGAAGAAACAGAAGGAAGAAAATCTCGATGTGAACAAGAAAAAGTTCTTTATTTTTCTGTGAATTTTTCCCCGAAGATCCTTTCCTGAAAGCCATCATCCAGAAGGGCGCAGCCAGGCAGAGGCAGGGATCGATTTGTGTTGCGTGTGATTTGAAGCCAAAACAAACCACAAAAGTGCTCCGCTGTCAGTGACGCAAGCAGACAGCAAAATGAATGAGTTTATCGTGGCCGGAAAGTATCGGATCATACGGAAGATCGGTTCCGGATCGTTCGGCGACATCTACCTAGGCATCAACATTACAAATGGCGAAGAGGTGGCACTCAAAATGGAAAGCCTCACGGCCCGGCACCCGCAGCTGATGTACGAGTACAAACTGTACAAGGTGCTGATCGGCGGCGTCGGAATCCCACACATTCGGTACTTTGGCCAGGAACGAAACTACAATGTATTGGTAATGGACCTGCTCGGACCGTCGCTGGAAGATTTGTTCAACTTTTGCAGTCGCCATTTTACGATCAAAACGGTGCTTATGCTCGTCGATCAGACGATCGGCCGTCTCGAATACCTGCACATGAAGAACTTCATCCATCGGGACATCAAGCCGGATAATTTCCTCATGGGCATCGGACGGCACTGCAACAAACTCTTCATGATCGACTTTGGCCTGGCGAAAAAGTACCGGGACTTCCGGTCGCGCATTCACATCATGTACCGCGAGGACAAAAACCTCACCGGAACGGCCCGCTACGCTTCGATCAATGCCCATCTCGGCATCGAGCAGAGCCGCCGAGACGACATGGAATCGCTCGGGTACGTGATGATGTACTTCAACCGGGGCTCGCTACCCTGGCAGGGCCTCAAGGCGACCAACAAGAAGCAAAAGTACGAAAAGATCTCCGAGAAGAAGATGTCCACCCCGATCGAGGTGCTGTGTAAAGGCTTCCCGGCCGAGTTTGCAATGTATCTCAACTACTGTCGCAGTTTGCGATTCGACGAGGGACCGGATTACATGTATCTGAGACAACTGTTCAGGTAAGTCCAAGAATACCCGGGCAAACAGCTGTTTCCCTCTGTCTTTGTCTTTCGTTTTTTTTTTTTTTTTTAGATTTCGACATCCAGAGTGTACGGTTTTAGATTTTTTTTTTCTTATGTTCGGTTGCTCTTCCATTCCATTACACTTGAAAATGTACATTTCCTTGGTTTCCTTTTTAGTGATTCGTTCGTGGGTTTCGCGCAAATTACACTTAGCTTCGGCCTCAGTCTGTGCAATAAGTACATTAGTGACGGTGCCGTAATAATCTTCCCAGATGGGTGTCCATTTGCTAATGCATCGATTAGCAATTCCGGTCCAAAATTGTGGTTGGGAGCCATTTTCCTGCTTTTTCTTGGAGCAAATTTCCAATCCGCTAAAAGATCCTTCGACAGTATCGGGAATTGTTCTAGGTTTGAACCGGATTAGAGCAACATTTGTAAAGGTTATGAATTAAATTCGGCATTGGGAAAATCAATTTAATAAATTTCTACCAAAACTCCAATTGATTTGAAAAACTTTAACAAGGCTTGAATGCAATTTGAGTGTAGTTTGAAGTAAGAGATTTTACCAACCAAGAATCAAGTTAAAATTTAATTAAAAGAGCACAACAAATGGTGATTGTTTAACATTTAGTTCCTCTTAGTATTTTGTATCCATACTAAGAGGAATTAAATGGAAAAAAAAAATCATCATTCTCTGCTCTTATGAATACCAATAACAACCCAATTAATAACTTTTTGAATTTAAATGCATTTCAACTCTACAACGTCGACAATTTTCAAATCACCTAGAAAAATATGTGTGCTTTCGAGAATTTTAAAAAGTTCCGGAATTGTGAGAACTATAATTCCTCAACTCCGAAAACGCTCGATGCTGCTGGAATTTCTTATATTACCCGAAAGCTGTAGAATTCTCAAACTCCAATACGCTTCAGCCCAATTCACATGCTGACGCCATCTTACGGATGAGACCAAGAAAACCTTGGAAATTTCTCTTTTGATCTTATCCACAAGCAAGGGCAGGGATGCCAGGTGTATTTCGAAAAAATCTTCAACGATATGGCCGAAATGTTTTCACAGTTACTTTACAAATTTGCGACCTGAAGCGGAGGGTGCACGAAGTTAAAATTGCAGAGATTTATGAAACTTCTTTAGCTAGGCCTTTACAGAGGCTCAGGGAAGTTAAGGGAACATCATTCATTTCAGAGAACTTTGATGCTGAGTACTGCGAACTAACTCAAAATGCTTGTCATCTGGGAGCCGAGTCAAACTGTCAAACGGGAGCCAAACATTCAAAAGAGCTCAGAAGTCACGTAGGTAGTTACTGTTTGAACCACAAGTAAAGGTGTTGCCACCTACTATTTTGCCACAGAGAGAACAGTTCTAGACCAACAATTGAAATAAGCGGAACAACCAAACGTAAACTAACAATGCCATTCGATAAAGGAAGTTTCCTCTATCAGATGATGGTGTTAGGTTGCTTGGATGTGCTTTGATTCTTGAGGAATTTGCGTTTAAAGCCATTGTTTACGTTTGGTTGTTCCGCCTATTTCAATTGTTGGTCTAGAGTTCTAGGCTAACATTTGAAAAGGGCGTAACAAACGCGTAGCAAAATATGTTAACAAACCATATTTTGCCACATATAGAGAGAACAGTTCACAAACTACTCGATAACACGAAAAAGTAAAAGAAAATATCACTTCAAATCATCAAAAACGTTTCTTCTTTCATATTACGTATTTTCAACATTCACCTCTATGATACATCTGGTTGTTACGCCTTGCACCAGAACTACGAATTATATTGTTTTTATATGCCAAACGTACTGATTCTGTAGTATCTAATCACACCCGATTCATTTGAAATGCATCCTATTGATATTTCACGTGTAAACAACGCATTTTCCTATACTTATTACACGACCTAACCGTCGTCATATTTCAATCACCGCAAACTTATAAAAGTTCGGGGACCTTGTTTTAATTTCAGGCACTTGGTTTAAGTTTAATGAATCAATAGTTTTAGGAATTTCGGTACATGTTTAGGAAACTTAGATAGAACCTCAGGAAGCGAAACAAATCAACTAGAAGTTCAGTAAATGAGGAAGTGCAGTGAATTTTGTAAAAATTCAGGAAACTTCGTAGAACATCGGAAATCTTTGTACAAGTTCAGCAAACTTCGTGGAGCTCAGAGAATTTAGCAGAAGCTCCAAAAAAAGTTAAAGTTCAGCAAACTTCAAGGAACTTCGTATCAGTTTAAGGAACTTCTACTTTAGCTTACTTTAAAAAAAACTCAATGTACTAGGATTTTTGGGAATATCATTTCAGGGATCATCCCAGATGATCAGCAATATTCAGGGTATTTTCTGTTCGGAGTAGTTCATAGATGTTCTGAGCTCTTGGTAGAATTTGTTTATTTGTTATGTTTGCATCAACAGACTAGAAATAGTCCCAATGATGTGTTTTAAAAAAAGTACAGAAAGCATTGTCAAGTTACTAAAAATGTATAAGTCTAAAATGTTACACTTAGCAGTTGGGCGTCAAGCGCCTTCGGTCAGCAAAAACGGCAGAGAATCTTATCGGTGAAGCATATTCCGTGTCAAATGGAAATCGAACATCGACGCTACTCGGTTGAACACTCGCTGCAAGCCGTAAATAGCGCTCTCTAGGCTATAATTAGTTCGAAGAAGTGGAAGTCTTAGCATACGACAGTTGATTCTATCTTGCAGAGTATCGGCGACGGTTAAGACTCTGAAAACATCTCTTCGGATACGTAAGGGCTCGACATTGATCAATTGGCAGCGATTTTCGTAGCTTGGAAAACGAAGTGGGTATCTCCAGTGGGCAGCTTACGGAGCGCGAAGCGAAGAAAACGTCGTTGAACAGATTCAATTCGCTCGGCCCCATTATTGTAGTTCGGACTCCAGACTGCAGAGTAGTATTCCAACGTAGATCGTTCGAGAGAGCAATAGAGCGATTTCAAGCAGTAAATGTCTGTGAAGTTCTTAGTAATCTTGAAGTCAAAGCCAAGCGTTCTGGACGCTTTGTCGACGACATACGATATATGGTGTGATTATGTCAGCTTTGAGTCTAGAAAAACGCCTAAGTCTTTCACGCAATGCACCCATTCGATAGTTGTGCCTAGTAGTTGGTAGTTGAAAATAATCGGTTGTTTCTTGCGTGAGAAAGTAATGATTGTACATACACTTAGCTGGGTTGACCACCAGTCAGCAAAGATGTCAATCTGATTTTGGAGAGAACGGCAGAACTTTCAGATCGTCTGCAAACGATAATCGTGGCCCTGTGATAACATGGTGAACGTCGTCGAAGTAAAGGAGAAATACCAATGGTCCCAGATGGCTACCCTGAGGTATAACGGACTTTGCGCAGAAGGTTGCTGAACGACAAGTACCCAAAGTGACTGTCAGTTGGCGCTCTGTGAGGTATGACATAACCATTTCAAAAGATTTCCACCGATCCCTAGTCTATCAAGCTTAGCGATCGCAATTTCGTGACTCAGCTTATCGAAGGCTGCCGTAAAATCTGTGTTAATAACGCAATCAAACTGCCTGTGATGTAAGACGTTAGGCACAGCAGGTTCGTAGTTGTAGAACGCCCAGTTATGAATCCGTGTTGATCTATACTTAGATAAAGAATAATCGCCGGAACACCATCGGGGCCAGCCTTAGCTGAAGTCTTAAGTTTAGATGCTGCTCTAGAAATCGCATCTGTAGTGGCGTCGACAACGCTACGCATGAGATTAGCGGAGAGTTGCTTGTCTTCAAACACACTAGCAAATTTGGTTGAGAACAGGTTGCAAATGTCTCGTTGTTCACCATTAAAAATCATGGAAGAGGGTAAGCCGACTTCCCTGCGTTGCTCATTTACGAAGTTCCAGAAGGATTTCGGGTGTGGTTTTGGCCGCCGTTGAATCCTCCTTTGATAGCGTTGAAAACAGAGTCGACTTGACCGCTTATACTCGTGGTTTAGTCTGACATAGTAGCATTTCAGCGGCAGTAAATCTTAGTTCATTTCAACGAGCGAAGATCTTTCGTCATCCACGGGACGCGAGAGTCGATATGGATGATCTTCTTGGAAACGTGCCTGTCAATGACATATGACAAGACGTGAGAAAAGGTTTGTGCAGCAATGTTGACGTCTACAGGATCTAGAATATTCTCCCAATCAAGGTTAGACAGCACATGGACAATTTTGCGATGGTCAGCTCTACGGAAGTCATATGACACGTTATCGATCACGATAACTAAAGCAGGGTGATGATGCACTTCCTTGACTAAAGGTGCCGTGGTGAGGTAAGGAGCTGTATCTCGAGCACTAACAAAGCAGAGATCCAGGGTGCGGTTGTTTTCATTCAACAGGCCATTGATTTGTGATAGAATTGCGGTACTATAACTGTCCAGGAGCTGGATGGTTCCTACGTGGAAAGATGAACGGAGGACAAAAGAAACCACTATGGGTTGGAGTCCATGCAATATCCGGTTGGTTAAAATCGCCAATAACAATAACTTCGTCGGAAGGGCCTGCTTTGTCTGAAGCGACCAAGACCGACAATGTGTGTCAATAAGCTCCAAGTCACGGGTTCGCTCTGGAGGGATGTACACTGCACAGAGAAGCAATTGACGATCACCAAGTTGAATAGCCACCCACACTTGTTCAACCGTGTTCCAGGAATAGTCCTCGATAGCTTCTGCTTTCAGCTTGGAATTAACTGCGATAAGGACGCCTCCCCCAGTAGTTTTCGCAGCGAAATATTTCGTAGCCAGCACCAAAGACGTAGTTTGAAATGGTTCGATAATTGAGTCATGTTTCGGTCAAAACTATAATGTCGTAACAGTGATCCACGACGACCAGATGATAATCTTCCACGAGGTCGTTCATACCCGTTCTGATAGTAAATCGTTAAGTCCGACCTCCGCTGTCCGGGAACAATGGAAGGTTCAGCGCTTGGTTGCATTTGGGAGCTGATAGATGTCACTTGAC